CCTGTGGTCCCAGCTACTTGGGAGGCAGAGGCAAGAGACTCGCTTGAGCCCAGGAGTTGGAGGTTGCTGTGAGCTGTAATGCCATGGCACTCTACCCACGGGGAAAGCTTGAGGCTCTGTCTCAAAAAATAAAAAATAAAAAATAAATAAATAAATAAAAAATAAAAAAATGGTTTCCTCCAAGGAAAGAAACTATAGTTTAGGAATTGTCTGGGATGGGAGTTTCTCAATAAGTATATTTTTTCTTAAAATGTTAACTAAGATGTATTGATTTTTAAATTATTGATGTTGCAAATGAGCTGAATGCAGCAAATCGCATTTGAAACATATATACAGCCCCATAATAAACAAATAAAAGAAATAGAAAACAAAAAAAATCTATGAAAATGTGCCATTTAGGTTATGAGTTTTAATGCTTCTATAATAGTTTGCAATATATTAAAATTTAGATTATCTATATTTGATTAAAGTAAGAAAAATGTAAACTTATTTAAATATTCACTGAGTCACCACTAATTTCTAATATGATTTTTTTCTAGATGTATTTTTTATTAAAAAAGGTTACAGTGCACATGAGAACAACTGGCTTATTCTGAGTTTCTACATTTCTCTACCATTTTTTATAATTTTCACCATTGTGATCATTAAAAGACTTGAAAGGAATAAATCTTGCAACAGAACAGAACATAAGGGGTAAATATGACTTATATAATCAATGTATTAGGTTAAACTGTGCTTCTCATTGGCTAGTGTTATACATTCATACATGTTATATAGCATTGTTATATATATTTTTTTCTTTTTTATGTTTGGGATTCATTGAGGATGCAAAGAATTCGGTTACACTGATTGCATTTGTTAGGTAAAATCCCTCTTATAATTGTGTCTGGCCCCCAAGAGGTATGCCATACACCATGAACCTCCCCTCCTTTTCCCTCTTTCTCTCTCCCTGCTTCCTCATTACCCCACCCCACCTCTTGAATTAGATCATCTACTTACCTCATATTAGAACTGAGTACATCAGATTCTTGCTTCTCCATTTTTGTGATGCTTTACCATGAAGAAATGTGTTCTAAATCAATCCAGGTTAATATGAAAGATGTAAAGTCCCTATCTATTTTTTCTTTTTTTTTATTCAGTCATTTATACATAGATCATAAATACATTTATGCCATTATGGGATTCAATGTGTTGATTATTTGTACACATTGGAATGCTTACATCCTACTAAACAACATAGCCTTCACCACTTTTACCAAATTACAAGGTTCAGACATTTGTGTTCTACACCTGATAGATTCAACTTGTACTTGCAATATGCTCCATAGGTGTGATTCCCCTACCAACCCTCCCACTCCACCTTCCCTTCTCCCTCCCCTTTCCTCCTTCATCCTAGGCTATAGCTGTGTGTCATTTTTCACATGCATGTGTGAGTGATTGTAAATTGGTTTCACAGTAGTACCGAGCACATTGGATTTTTTTTTCCATTCCTGATATACTTTAATAAGACGAATATTTTCCAGCTCCATCCATGTAAACATAAAAGAGGTAAAGTCTTCATTTTTTTTTAATGCTGCATAGTATTCTGGTATACATATACCACAATTTATTAATCCATTTGATGAGTACTTGGGCTTCTTTCATGATTTGGCAATTATGAATTGAGCTGCAATAAACAATTTGGTGCAAATATCTTTATTGCCAAATGATTTTTGGTCCTTTGGATATACACCTAAAAGAGGAATTGCAGGATCAAATGGCAGGTCAATATTTAGATTCCTGAGTGTTCTCCAAACTTCCTTCCAAAAGGAACATACTAGCTTGCATTCCCACCACCAGTGCAGAAGTGTTCCCTTTTCTCCACATCCATGCCAACATCTGTAGTTTTGGGATTTTGTGATGTGGGCTATACTTACTGGAGTTATATGATATCACAAAATGGTTTTGGTTTGCATTTCTCTGATGATTAAAGATGAACATTTTTTTATGTGTCTGTAGACTGTGCACCTTTCTTCTTCAGAGAAGCTTCTGTTCATGTCTCTTGCCCACAATGAAATGGGATCACTTGTTCTTTTCTCATTAATAAGTTTGAGTTCTCTGTGGATTCTGGTTATTCGGCCTTTGTTGGAAGTACAACCTGCCAATTCCTCTCCCATTCTGAAAACTATCTGCTTGCTTTACTTACTGTGTTCTTGGCAGTGCAGAAGCTTTTTAGTTTGATCAGATCCCAGTAATGTATTTTTGAAGTTGCTTCAATTGCCTGGGGAGTCCTCCTCATAAGTATTCTCCCAGGCCATTTTTTTTCAAGTGTTTCCTCTGCATGCTTTCCAAGAATTTTTCTAGTTTCATGTCTTAAGTTTAAGTCTTTTAACCAGTGGGAGTCAATTTTTGTTAGAGGAGAAAGGTCGGGGTCCAATTTTAGTCTTGTACAAGTTGCCAGGCAATTCATCTAGCACCATTTGTTAAATAGGAAATATTTCCCCCAATTAATATTTTTGATAGGCTTATTATACATCAAATGACAATAAGTGTCTGCATTCATCTCTTGGTTTTCAATACTATTCCATACATCCACTCTCTATTTTTGTGCCAGTACCATGCCGTTTTGATCACTATCAATTTATAGTATAGTCTGAGGTCTGGTAGTGTGATACCTCCTGATTTGTTTTCATTACTGAGTAATGTATTGGATAGTCAAGGATTTTTTTCTGGTTCTGTATTAAACAAAGTACTAATTTTTCCAGATCTGTAAAGTATAACAGAGGTACTTTAATAGGGATAGTATTAAATCTGTAAGATTGCTTGGGGAGGTATAGACATTTTAACAATGTTGATTCTTCCCATCCATGAGCATGGTATATTTTTCCATTTGTTAACATCTTCAGCTATTTATTTTTTCAGAGTTTCATAGTTCTCTTTATAGATATCTTTCATGTCTTTTGTTAGACACACTGCCAGATAGTTCATCTTATTTGGCACTATTGTCAAGAGAAAACAGTCCTTGATTGTTTTTTCACCTTGACTATTGTTGCTATATACAAAGGCTATAGATTTGTGAGTATTGATTTTGTACACTGATCAGCAGACACTGATGTATTTCTTTTCTTTTTTTTTTTTTTTAGTTTGGTAAATATGTTTTCTGTATGGGTTGCAGAAATACTCAACAATGATCAGGATAGGACATATGATGGCTATGTTCCCTAGAAGAGGTAAAGGTTGTGTATATAATCAGTGTATCCATTATTCTGATCCCACATTAGAAGAAAACCAGAAAGGTCTTCCAGTTACATGATAAAATCCTCTACATGCTGGAAGGAGGGTGCATTTCTCTCCTTCGTCTCCCCAGAAAAGTAACTTTAAAGTAAGATTTCAGATGAGGAAAATGACTTTTTGGAAAAGTATTAAAACCTTCGCAGAATGTGTCACATCTAGAAGTTTTGTGGTTGAGTCCCTAGGGTTTCCAGATATACAATCATACCATCTGTGAAGACTGACAGTTTGATCTCCTCTGATCCTATGTGAATACACTTGATTGTGTTCTCTTGCCTGATTGCAATGGCTAAAACTTCCATTACAACATTAAAGTAAGTGGAGATGATGGGAAACTTTGCCTGGTTGCTGATCTGAGTGGAAATTATTTCAATTTTACATCATTCAATACAATATTGGCCATGGGCTTGCTGTACATGGCCTCTGTCAGGTTAAGAAATGTTCCTTCTATACCTGTTTTCTTAAGCATTCTGATCAAGAAAGGATTTTGGATATTATCAAAAGCTTTTTCTGCATCAATTGAGAGAATCATATGATTCTTGTTTTTTATTGTGTTTATGTGATGCATTATATTTATAAATTTACATATATTGAATCATCCTTGGAACCCTGGGATAAAACTCACCTGGTCACGATATATAATTTGTCTGATGTGTTACTGAATTCTGTTTGCTAGGACCTTATTGAATATTTTTGCATCAATATTCATTAGAGATATTGATCTAAAATTTTCTTTTTTTGTAGGGTCTTTTTCTAGTTTGGGGATGAGGGTGATATTAGCTTCATAGAATGTGTTAGGTAATCTTCCTTCTTTTTCTATATTTTGGAAAAGGTTAAGTAATATAGGTACTAGCTCCTCTTTAAGGTTTGGTCGAATTCTGATATGAAGCCATCTGGTCCCAGGCTTTTCTTATGGGGGAGATTTCTTATAGTTGATGCTATTTCAGAACTTGATATAGGCTTGTTCAACATTTCTACTTCTTTCTGGGTAAGTCTAGGAAGGTGGCATGTATCCAAGAATTGGTCTATTTCCTTCAGCTTTTCATACTTCTGAGAGTAGAGTTTTTTGTAATATTCATTAAGGATTTGTTGAATTTCTGAGGAGTCTGTCATTATTTGCCCTTTATCATTCCTGACTAATGAAATTAGGGATTTCGTCCTTTTATTTCTGGTTAGAAATTAGGGATTTCACTCTTTTATTTTTGGTTAGGTTTGCCAAAGTTTTATCTATTTTATTGACCTTTTCAAGAAACCAACTTTTTGACTTATTGATCTGTTGTATCATCCTTTTGTTTTCAATTTCATTTAATATCCTCAAATTTTAGTTATTTCTATTCTTCTGCTAGATTGGGGGTTGTAATATTCTTTCTTTTCCAGTTGATTCAGATGTCCCATTAAGTTGTTGACTTCCTCTCTCTCCATTCTTTTGAGGAAGGCTTACAATGCTATAAATTTCCTCTTAGGGCTGCCTTTGTGGTATCCTAGAGTTTCTGACAATTCATGTCTTCATTATCATTTGTTTCCAAAAATTTGGTAATTTCTTTCTTAATCTCATCTATGACCCAGCTATCATTCAGTATGAGGTTATTTGTTTCCATGATTTTGTATGAGTATGCAGATTCCTATTTTTACTGAGTTCAACTTTTATTCCATGATCAAAAAAAAAAAAAATACAAGGAATCATTTCTATTCTTATAAATTTGCTGCGGTTATACTTGTGACCTAAGATGTGATCAATTTTGGAGGATATTCCATGGGCTGAAGAGAAGGATGTGTATTCAGTTTTGTTAGGATGAAATGTCCTGTAGATGTCTGTTCAATTCAGTTGTTGAATGGTTAATTTTAAGTCTATAATTTCTTTGCTTAGTTTCTTATAGGAGGATCTATCCAACACTGCCAAAGTGGTGTTAAAATCTCTGACTATTATGGTGCTGGAGGAAATTAAGTTGCTCATGTCTATTAGAGTCTCTGTTATAAATCAAGGCACATTATGGTTGGGCACATAAGTGTTAATAATTGAAATGTCATCATGTTGAGTGTTGCCCTTAACAAATATGAAGTGACCATCTTTATCTTTCCTTACTTTTGTTGGTATAAAGCCTATTGTATCTGTGAATAAAATTACAACCCCTGCTTTTTTCTGATTTCCATTTGTCTGAAATATAGATGACCATCCCTTTGCCATGAGACTATATTTATCCTTTAAGGTCAGATGAGATACTTGTATGCAACAGGTATGTTGTCTGAGTTTTTGTATCCAATCAGTCAACCTGTGCCTCTTTTAATGACAGTTTAAGCCATTCACATTAATTGAGAGTATCGATAAGCTTGGTAATATTTTGGAGTATTGAGTTTTTCAAAAGTCCAGTGGACATTTTTAATCTTTTCAAACCACTGTGAAAGTTGGAGTTTGATCAAAAGTTTCTG